GTGCCTTTGACTGTGGACTAGTCGATACTAATTTCTTAGTATCGGAAACCATGTAAAAATCGTTGTGTCCATCTCATCCTTACTTGCCTAAATCAGTTTTGTGCTCTAACTCTGTTTTGCAGAAGAGACTTTGTTTTGCAGGTTGTGTTTGACAACAGGGAAGAAACGCAGAAGACTGAGTTGGTGTGAAACGCTGTCATTTACGAGAAGAAAGGGCCAAGGAGTCTGTGGACTTAAAACAAAGATTGGGCCTCAAGCCCAATAACCAACATCGCAACTTACAGACTTCAAGCTTCCATTTCACTTCTGCACAAAGATTTACTTTCTCATTCTTGCAAATTTGATTTTCGTTCTTCTACAGAAATTAGGGTTACAAGAGAGAATCGACGAACAGCTGTAGCAGCCTCACGCTCGTCTGCACCAACAATTTTTTCCTAATCTGGCTCTTATCATTCAAAGTTTGTTAGTCTTAGTTAAATTGAAACCTATCTAAGCATTGACCGAACGCTCATGCGCATAAAAAATCTCCTAATTATAAAAACATTCCTCCATATTTTTTACCCGCTCTCTAAGTAATCCCTTCCATGAATTCTACCCTACAATTTTCAATCAAAGCCAACAAATTGGCCTATCTATTGTCGAAACTTAAAGGGATTAAAATAGTATAGGGTGACTTTGTAATTACATTTCCCCGTATTGATTCAGCACCTTATTAGGCGCGTACAATGAGTTATTAGGTCTCAGTTTAACATAAGATTAACGGTCTTTTCACAACAAGATTCACAACAAAAATGTTTATATTTGAAGGAATATGTTAGGAAAAAAACAGCACAACAATCAAGATAGAAACCATAATAGTTTAGGGACAAATATACCGTTAACCCAACTTTAATCTTAGCTTTTAGAGATCAAAAAGAAAAGCACACTAAACCTCTTAACAACATCTCAGCCTAACAAAATTTTTAGGGTAATGTCTATTTGTTATCTAAATCTGTTTTGTATTCTTTTATTTTAGCCAAACCTATTGAAATACCAAGAATTAGCAAAATATTTTGTAATACGTCAAAGTATTAGCCATTTTTTACGTTATCGTTAATAATTTTGTACCTCTTTTCTTAGTTAAAATACTGAAAATTTGGAATGTTAACCTCCATGCTTCTCTTTCAAGTCGGTATCATGTTGCCAAGTCAATATTACTAACAAAATGGCTAACTAAATGTTAACATTTGTCTAATTATTAGTAATTCCATAGGTTTGGCTAATAAAAAATAAAAAAAAAGGTTTAACTAATAAATAGTCATTACTCAAAATTTTATGGCACAAATTTAGTTTGTATCTATACTTTTATTCAAATTTTTTTATGTTACCTTTAACAAGTTGAATTTATATTATCCACCTCATTATTACATTCATTAAAAAAATAAAAAACCTAATTTCTTTTCTACAAACCCCCGTACCCTACCCGACCCAACCTCCACCGCCGCCGACCTCGCCTCCTGTTTCGGTTTCTTCCTCCTATGTTCCAAACCCAATATAGAAGGGGAGGTTGCTGAGATCCAGCTCGTAGAGTTGCTTCCAGTTCTTGAACGTCCAAGGCACCACCCCGCAGAACCAGTTCAAATTGAGGGTAAAATACCTCGGGTACCACTTAAGTTTCAGAATTGGGACAGACATACCACTTAAGTTTGAATAGGGCTTCGGGTACCACTGAACTCTATTATTTGTGCACCCGCTATCACTTAAATTTAATGTTAAGTGCATTCCGTTAAAATTAACAGAATATTCCAAGAATATTCTGTTTTCTAAATTTCTAAATTGGTCCTTCCACTTTTCTTATTGTAAAATATTATTTTGACTTATGAAAAACATCAATTATTATTATTATTTAATTTGTGTCCTCTTTTGAAAACTTGATACCAAATTAATTTTTGAATAGAAAATTTAAAATTAATTATCATTATAAGTATTTTCAATTATCATTCTGTTTTCTAATAATTGAATTATTCTTTTTTTTTTTGAAGATTTTGAAACCAAACCAATTTTTGAATAGGAAATGTAGAATGAATTATCATTATAACTTATAATTACATTAAATTACCATTATGTGTTATAATAATTGAATAATTTGCTTAAACAAATATATCATATGAATTCTATATCGATATAAATAATATGAGGATGTTATATTTAATTCTCGTACATCATCTGGATGTTGTATAATTTTCTTGGTTACTTTCGTTCTATTTTCGTTCTAATTTTTTTTTTCAATTACCGTAATATGTTTAATTCTTTCCAACTATGTTTCATTTATCATTCCTTGGTATTGATATATTGATGATCTATTAGATTGTATTTTAACTATTTTTAATGTTACTTCTTATCGGATTAGCGATTTAAATAGATCTTCTAAGATTAATTTTAAATATTTATAATTATATTCTATATATTTATTCTTCTTCTTAATATTTATTTATTATTTTTACTAAATTATCAATTTTATTGACAATTTTGATTATTCATTTTAGTAATATTATGTTTAGAAGGTTTTTTAATTTCTATATTATATAAAAACTTGTTGAAATATAGTTTTGGATGATTTTTAAAAGTTTTGGGTACCAAAAAGTAATTAAATTTTTGGGTTGGATGGAAACTAGACAGATGCACATTTTGGTGACTTTAATGGTACCTGACGCCCTATTCAAACTTAAGTGGTATGTCCTCGAATTCTGAAACTTTAGTGGTACCCGAAGTATTTTACCCTTCAAATTGATGTGGGAAATTGCTAGATCTCTCAACAACTTTAGCTCCTCCGACAAGTATATGCTGCTGAAACTTAAGTTGACGGCTGCCGGTTTCTGCTGGATGTGGTGGTATGGATTAGATTGATGGGGATGCTGACGGAAATGAAGGCAGAGGGAGAAGTGGGGGTCGGATCGTCGTCGAGATGGTGGTGGTTTGAGGAAGGCGGTGGATTTGGAGAGGGCGTACTCAAAGAAGGAATCGCGTTGTTGAGCTGATTCGGAATAAGATGATTTGGTCAATGCCCGATCTCTCCATGGCTTGTTTCCTAGGTGTTTGTGCATCCTTTTTCTTTTTTCTGAGTTACGATTGCATTATCAGGAACCTGCTAATTACGATTCATCATCTCTCGTCGGATCCCATGAATGACGAGATCGATGAATCCCGAATCTGCCTTCGTCATATACTCCACCTTCCTGGATTCCTCCGCCCTCTAGCGGCTCTCGCCACTGCAGACCTTCAACTAGATCCACCCCTTCTTTTTCACCCAACGCAAGTCCATTCACGCACGAATCGAATCTAAGAAAGTGTTCTAGCCCAATCATCTGTTAGAATTTCACATTCTGGGAAGAAATTTTTGGTTCGTTGTGTCTTTGTTGGTGAGTGACGCAACTGCTCCGGTGGAGACCAGCACGAAGGGTTCGCGACGGAGGAGATTAGACCACCGCTCCTTCTCGCTTGCCGTGGATGTGACCGCCTCCCCAGATGACACCAACCGGAAATCTCCATCAGCTTCAGGCATTCCAGTTGCGTGACAAGGGATGAGGGAATAGACTCTGTCGGCGGTGAAGTCCAGCTCCGGTGGCAGCTTCAACGACCGTCGACAACTGCAAAACAAAGGAACCCAACTCTGTATGATTTGGGTCGGGTCAGAGGGTCACGGGTTGTTGGATTTGATTTTTTATTTTATTTTTATGATGTGGCTGGTTTTGATGACGTGGATGATCAAATTTTATTTTTTGTGTTAAAATTTGCTGATTAGGCGTTTCTGTTGGCCATGTCAGCAAAAAGCTGACGTCATTAACGGAGAGTGACCAAACTTGAACCGTTAAATTAATTATAGTGACCATGAATGAATTTAAATATTTCTAGTGATCAAACGTGAACGTTTTTAATAATTTAAGTAACTAACCTTGCAATTTACCCCAATATATATCAACACTTTGTTGAGAGCATACTCATTTTAAACGGGGTTAAAAGCCGCGGCAAGTTGGCCGCCGGGCTGTGGGGCATTCAGCTGACTGGCTAGCTAAGTTTTTTAACTTTTTATCATTCCCGTCAAATGGTTGTACAAAGGAAGGAGGTGGGTGCAAAGTTCTCACTTCAATTGGGCCGCCATTTATGAATAGTACTTTCTCCATTGGGCCTACACTAAAAGGCAGCCCTTGCTACAGAATCAACGTTCTTCAGTTATTCAGAGTCTTTGAAACTAAGCCAGCCAGGCATTGTCGTCCGCCTGCTGTTTAGTACACAGGTGACAACACATACATAATTACATATATATACATGTAATGTAGACTTTTCCCGACACTGTAACTCCCGCCTATTATTTTGTCAAAAGAAAGTAAGTTTTACCAACTCGAACCTAGTTGGGGACAAGCAACTGGCATTTGGCAATGGATCAAAGTCATAACTAGGAAATGGTGTACGTTATGTTATGAGTTGACCAAATCCTAGAATGCTAGTTATATACTATATTAGATAACAAGTAACACATTTTAATTAATCAACGACTATTTTTTTTATCGATAGTGTTATTTCTCCAGTTCTGTAGAAGATGAAAATTTTATAGTTTTTAAAATCAACCATGGGTTAGTCTCGTCTTACCAATGAGAGTTGACATTGTGTGCTTTTTCCATTAAATTCATTGATATAGACATTTTTTACTTCAAAAACTTTAGGATAGGTTTGTCAATATAATGTAAAGATATTAAGATAGTGTCTTACTTTAGTATTGAGGAATAGGGGATAGGCCTAAGTTTTACTCTAATATATAAGTTAAGTTGGGATCAGCTCAATTGGCATGCAATGGAAGTCGTAACTTTGAAATGGTATACGTTATCCTCTTCTATTGAAATATGCTTTTTAATTATTTGATCCGGCGCCACGCCACGCGGTTTAACTTCGCATATAATTCACCATTGACTTTCGACGGATCTTGGCGGCCACTAGCTATATAGGACCACCACAGCCCCATGCAGTATTCTTCACCAGCAACTTCTCTCAATCCCCAGTAGCTCTCTCCTTTCTCTAAAATAGCAATGGCCACGGTAACCCTACGATTCCTCTCAAAACCAACCTTCCTGCTGGCGCTACTGATGATGATGGCTGTGGCAGTAAACCAGTCCGATGCACAGCTGTCCACAAACTTCTACGCCAATTCCTGCCCCAACGCCCTCTCCACAATACGAACCTCCATCAGAACAGCCATCTCCAGAGAAAGAAGAATGGCGGCCTCCCTCCTCCGGCTCCACTTCCACGACTGCTTCGTCCACGGCTGCGACGCCTCCATCCTCCTCGACCAATCCCCAACCATCACCTCCGAAAAAACCGCCCCACCAAACGACAAATCCGCCAGAGGCTACCAACTCATCGACGCCGCCAAAGCCCGACTCGAAACGATCTGCCCTGGCGTCGTTTCATGCGCCGACGTCCTCGCCGTAGCCGCCAAAGAAGCCTCCGCCTACGTGGGAGGTCCCTCGTGGAACGTGAAGCTCGGCAGGAGAGACTCCACGTCGGCATTCCCTGATGAAACCCTCACCGATCTCCCGTTCTTCAAAGCCGACCTCCAGACCCTGATCGACAACTTCGGGGCCAAAGGGCTCAGCCCGAGAGACATGGTTGCGCTCTCCGGGGCCCATACTTTGGGCCAGGCCCAATGCTTCACCTTCCGTGACAGGATCTATAGCAACGGAACTGATAATATTATTGACCGTGGATTCGCTAGCACACGGAGGCGTCGCTGCCCGGCTGTTGGGGGAGACGATGCGTTGGCGGCGATGGATTTGGTGACGCCCAATTCGTTTGATAATAATTACTTCAGAAATCTGGTGCAGAGGAAGGGACTTCTTGAGACCGATCAGGTGCTCTTCAGTGGTGGTTCTACGGATAGTATTGTGATGGAGTATAGCAGGAGTCCTTCCAGGTTCAGTGCCGATTTCGCGGCGGCCATGATTAAGATGGGTGATATTCAGCCTCTCACTGGTTCGGCTGGCCAGATTAGGAGGATTTGCGGCGCCGTCAACAACTGATGATCGTCACTTCATTCATTGATGTCATCTTCGTATTTCTTTGATTCGATTCAGACTGTTCTTGCCTTCTTGGGGATCAACTATCCCCCTCAATTCTTTCATTCTGTATTAATGTTGTTGTTTTTCCTGTGGTAAATGAAAAATAATGATTGATGTTGTTGTTTTATTTGTAATAAAGGTTGTACATTTCTAGTTTTTTTTTTTTTTTAAATTTCTGCCATTAGCAAATGATGATGGCACTGCTTCAAAGTTGTAGTAGCAGCCTCCGCGGTTGATTGATTGCCGGCGTATAATATTCTTTTCAGCTTCTTCTTCAACTTGGTATATAGAGACTGCTTCCACCATTATTGAATGGAAATTCTCAAATTACTACCCTTTTTGTGTTCCTCTAATGAGACTATTCTCGTTCATTTTACTCTACATTCACCGGTAAGGATAGTCGCGAATTGCTTCGGAGTCGCCATCAATCTTATTTTATTGTGGATCGATCACCATTTTGTCGGGTCTTGACCTTAGGGTCAAAACTGAAATTTGGTCTCCGAAATTTTAGAGTTCTGGGTTCGGGAGTACGGTTACGTGTGGGCAAGTGTATTCACATCCCACAACCCCCAAAAATAGTACTACTAAAATCGATAAGTTTTAAACGGTTGGGTGTATTATAATTTGTGCTTTATTTACGTATTTAATTATATAATTTGATTAATTATGTGTTCGTTATTTAGATTTGATCATACATCTATTGATGCAAAATCTTAGAAGTAAAGAAAGTATTTTTTAAAAAGAGTGATTAAACACCAATTAAGTGATTTATAAAAAGAGCGATTAAACACCAATTGTTTCCTTTGTTTTGATCCTAAATTACCACTACTTCCGCTAACACCCAACAAATTTGGTATCAGAGCCGATACTACTTTCCTATCCTTCCAAACCAGCCTCATATATCCTACAAAAAAAAAAATCCAAAAATCATGGCAGCAATCCAGGTGAACACAATGTTCGTAAATATCCCCAGTCAGATCCCGATCTTCGAAGGTGAATTCTACAAGTATCGGAGTGAAGACAATCTTCATCGCTCAAGACTTGTGGGATCTCTTCTAAGAAGCTTATGAGGAGGTCATGACGAAGCAAGGCTCTGGCAAAATGACAAAAGCAGAGGATGAACTACCAAGCAGGTTCAAGACCGTAGAGGAAAATCCGACGGTAACAACTCATAATGCATTATATGTCAAAAGACGGGACGTGCAACAAAATATTGCAGGTTCAAATGCAGGAATCGCAGGAGTCCAAATCACTCCCCAAATGGATTATTGGTTCCAGAAGAAGCAAGAAGATGAGTAACAAAAAGAAGTTGCAAAAGTCACTCAAGGTGAAGAAATCAAGCAGACATCAGGACCAAGTCATTTACTCGAGAGAAATTCGAGAAGTTCAAGATGCAACTACGAATTGCGAATTAAGAGGGGGTGTTGAAATTCCTAGTCCACAATTCTACAGATCTCTACCTTGGCCTACAAACTCTAATAATGGCATGGACACATCGGTTCACATCTGTCAACTACCCTGCCAAGTTGTACCAACTACCCTTCATAATTAAACAAAAATAATGGGAATAAAAATAATGGGAGGAGAAACGTCGGGAAGGCGAAAAGCTCCTAGCATGAAGCTTGGCAGGGGGAATTTTTTTTGCCGAGCTTCGTCTTCTGTGTGGAAGAAGAGGAAGAAGAAGAACAACAACAAGGAAGAATCAGTCTACCGGCCCCTTTGTGTTGTTTTTTTCCCTATCTGCCTTGTCTGTATGAAATGAAGATGAAGGCCAGAAGAAGCTCCCTTTTTTCTACTCCATGGGTTCTTTTTTAAAGGAAAAGTCAACTTGTTCACCAAGTTTGCAACAGTGTCTGGGTTGGGTCGGACCCGTTTGGTCATACCTGATTTCTGACTGGTTTGACTTTGTTGATTGGTTTGATTGAATGTTTAACCAATAGTTGACTTTCGTTGACCTTGGACAGGGGTTTTGACTTTGCTATGGGCCTAGGCTGGGCCTAATGCTGACTTGACTTAACTTTGGCAAGCTTTTGTTTGTAATTGTAGCGATTATACATTTGTAAGTTGTAATTAATTGTATCTTTGTAATTGATTATATGGATCTTAATTAAAAAATTTACTGATTTGTTCTTTTCTTCTATTATCTCAATTCAGACCCAACCTCACTCTTTAAATTAAATCAACTCTATTGAATTGATTAACCATCGCAACAAACCAACATGACAATGAATTGGCCAAGTCCAATGCAATCGCAGACAATATTAACCTTCTTAGATTTGCTATTGCCAATCTCAAATTCGTATTGATTTAAATGACGATTAAGTATCAAAATTGTCGATCTCGTAGTCGGTCGTGTATCAACCCGGACAAAATGGGGTGTCTATAGTTGACATTAAAATGATATTATGCTTAAATTCTAAAACTCGTCCCTTCTTTCAATAACTCGAGTCTAACATGTTATCTACCTCTTGGTTGTACTTTATTTGGGGTTAGAGAATAATATTGTAGACACTCTCTTTCTTATCACGCCTCTGTAAATGTTGGCGTAGGCACTATGGAGTATTAAATAGTTTAGGTGATCTTTCATTTGAATTTACTTGGTTAGAACTTCAATCAATTGTCAATTTTTGTTTTTGATTGAATTGATTTTGGGTTTGAATATACCCAACATGGGATTCAGACATTAGCAGTTAGGTTATAGTAACATATCTCAAACCGTGATAAATTCACTAATCTAGATAGCACCATCTCACTAGGCGTGTATATATATATATATATATATATATATATATATATAGTGTCTTCTATGGTACCCTGGGTGAAATCCGGGGTACCGCATACCTTGAGTATGAAAACGCTATCTAGACCTTGAATTAGCAGAATTTTCCGGCATGATACTATACCCTAACCTTTAATGAGTGAACCCTAGGTCCTAATCATCTAAATCATAAACTATAAACCCTAAGATGGTACATTGATTTTTTTTGCCTATATTTGGACGAATCATAACCGTCGATTATTGTTTCTAATTAAATTGATCTTGGGGTACAAGATTTAGAGAAATAAGACCTAGATATTGATCTTTAAAGATTATAGTATAGTATCATGTCCGAAAGATTAGTCAATTCAAGTTCTGGATAGCGTTTTCTTACTCAAGGTATACGATACCTCGGATTTCACCCTGGGTACCGTAGAATTTCCCATAATTTATTTATTTATTTATTTTGGTGAAAAGGTGCAAAGCACCGTAACCTCAATTAATTAATCGAACGAACGGTAAAACCGTCCACAAAGTCACACAAAAGCCATTGGCCAATATAAGGATCGCTAGGATCGACAACATGGGTTCCCCGAGGAAGAGAGTGACCCAGATGAGCCAGGTAATCAGCAAGGAAGTTGCCCTCCCTATAAACATGCGTAACCCGGATGTCCCAGTCACGCTTCTGCAGTTCCTGAAATGACAGTACAAGGATGGCGTGCTGTGATCCGTCGAAGCAGACTCATATAGGAGGTGCACGGTTGTAGTGGAATCGAGTTGCAGCTCCACTTCCTATATCCAAGGTCTCAAGCCAGGTGCAGACCTTGTATATGGCACCCCATAGCTATGCGCGAGTGATTGAGCATCTCCCCAGATTCATCGAGCAAACCCCCAATAAGCGACCCTGCCCATCTCTAAGCGCGCCTCCTGCAGCAGTAGACTCCGAGTCCCGCAATAATGAGCCATCGGAGTTCACTGTAAGCCACCCTGTCGGGGCTGGTCTCCACCCTACATCCACGTCTCGACGCAGCCCGACCTCGCCAGTGATACAGTGTGTTCTGCCGCTTTGCACCGTTGCGCGATGACCTCTTAGGATAGGATCTTTTGCGAAAGCTTATTGGGTGCCTCCCCGATGCCTGCGAAGATGTAATCATTCCGCGAGCGCCATAGGATCATACATTGAAGCCAAAACAAACCTGTGTGTCAGGTTTCGACAGGTAGTGCATGAACCACTCATTGAAGTCCTGAGGATCCGAGTCTGCTGCAGCTGACGGAAGGGCGGAAGTCCAAAGTTGTCTCGCAAAGCTGCACGTTCGGAAAACGTGCTCTGATGACTCGACGTGCTGCTTACACAGCTGGAAGGCCATGATTGTTGCTAGGTGATGCCGCCTACTCTCCTCGTTAGTCATGAGCGCTCCATGATAAGCCAACCATAAGAAGTGACGAACCCGGCTCGGGCCGGGCCACTTTCACACCGCTTTCACCCTGGATGCGCCTCGTCTCCATTAATTGCTGCCACGAGTTGGTATGCTGACTTTAGTGTGAAGTTGCCTTTCGGCTCCAACTCCCATACCAACTCGTCCTTGCCAAGCTCCTGTTTGGGCGGCGACATCCCGATCACCTTCAAGAACACGTAATTGGGTAAGATATTAGAAAGCAGATCGACATCTCACTCACCCGTCAACGTTGTCATGCTAGCGACGAAGGCTTGAAGGTCGATGTCTCCTGCGGTCGGTAACAGATGTTTCGTCAACACTACGTCTCCATCAAACCACTTATCCTGCCAAAAAAGAGTGTCAGTGCCTTCTCGAATGCTCCACCTCACCCCTTCCAGTATCATATTCCAGACACATTGCACTCCCCTCCATAAGTGCGAGTATCTGGTCTTGCGTCGTAGTTCCACCCCGCTCGGACCTTCTCGGAGGTACTTCTCTTTTAGCACGCAAACCCATAGCTCCTTTGGGTGCTTAAGGATGCCCCAAGCGAGCTTCAGGAAGTACGCCTTGTTCAGGCCCCGCGCATTCCTTAGCCCTAGACCACCATGATCTTTTGGTTGACATATTGTTTCCCAATTGATCAGGTGAATCTGCGTCCTTCCTTCCTGGGATCCCCAAATGAAGGCTCTGATCTTGCGGTCTATGTAGACTCCTGCCGGGAGCACTGAGGTCTGCATGACATAGGACGGTATGACATTGAGCACTGAGAAGGAAAGCGTCACTCGACTTGCAAGGGATAAGTTCTCTGCCTTCCAACCTGCAAGACGCTGGTCAATACAATCAATAATATATCTATAGGTCTGTTTAGTTATACGACCATGCAACACAGACACTCCAAGATACCATCCCAAGTCCTGTGTCATACGAATATGAAGGCGATCGCTAATCTCTTTGCAAA